GACGCCTGGATTCCTGACCAGAGATATCATAGGGAATCTGCGGAGAGGGTCGACTTAGGCTAAGTCGACTCGGTAATCTCTGAACCGTAGATAGCATAAACTGATATACGATAGTATGGCTATATCACACAAGAACCACATAAACATGCACAAAGCACAGCCAAAATGCATAAAAATTAGGGCATATGAAGAGAAAGAACCAATTTTTACCCACTTCTTCTGCTCCGCCGCCACCACGAACTCGTCGTCCCCGTCATCCAACGGCAGCGCTACCCCCATCTTCTTCACTATGAACACCATGTTCATTCTCTGCTCCGCCTAGGTCGGCCACTCGATCATCGACATCCCGCGCATAACAGCCTCTAGGATGGAGCTTCAACCGTAGTGGGTCATGAATCCAGCCGCCACGTGTTCCAGCACCACTCTATGTAGGGCCAACGACTTTATCACGAAAGTCTTGCCCTTAATCCTCTCCAGAAACCCCTTCGACAGACATTTGCAGATCAAACACATAAATATTTCTCAACCAAATAAAAAATGGAGGCAAGAATCAAAATTCATTAATTACACTAACAAATTGACAATTGCAATTTTCACATCAAAACCAAAAAAAAAGAAAAAAAATTAAAAAACAATAAATTTACCTTGAGGAACCCGCCGTACTTTATCATTTGCCGGAATTCGTTGAAGTTGACCCTCCGTCGCCACCTAAGTTGACCCTGACAATCTAACTTCGGTACTCATCCGTCGTCTTCACCTACTTCTGCCCCAGCGCCGCCAGCACCAATCTCAGCTCATCCGACATGATGAACTCGCCCCGTCCCGAACGAAAACCTTGAACACCTCCCGCATGTCCTCTTCACTGTCAAACCCCTCGTCACCTCCGCTATCTGCCATCACCGCTGCGTATAGGGCGCTGAATCCCTCGGCGTCCGTGGGCGTCAATCTTCACGACCATCGCCCGCAGCTTGTCCTCCAGCACGCATATTCCGAGATTCTCTAACGACTCGCTGAGCTCATCCCGGCTGATGTTGTCGTCACCGTTCATCGAGCTTGGAGAGGACCCGATGGAGCTCCATCGTGCCGGTCTTCTCATGTGCAACCCCAATGCGAGAATTGGTTAGATTTGATTTTGATGGTCATTTTTCAGCCAACAATTTTGGGAGAGACGGGGAAAATTATGGATTTGATTTTGATCGGTATTTTCACCCTATGATAATAATTTATTGGAAGATATTTTGGATAATCTCGAATATACGTATGCCAAAATAAATCTGCCGGAAGAGATTTTAAATAATATGGAATATACGCATTCTAAATTAAATTTGCAGTAGTCAATAGTTTCTTTAAATATTAGAACTTAATTTTGACTGAAAATTTCAAAACATGTTCGAGCGGGCTTTTCAAAAATTTTTGAAAAATATTACTTAGTTTAGTAAATCTGAAATTTTTAGGCGGGAATTAAGTTACTATTTCAGGTAAATGTCAAACCTTTTTATATGTATATAGATTGGAGGAAACAAATCAAAAGACATGGATATATTAGTCACTTAGTGACTCGCTATGTAAAATTACAAGGAATTAAAGGGTTATATTAGTACAATTAATATTAAAATACCTAAGCTACCTAAATAATATTTATGGAATGTCCGAACCTAGATTATTATCTATAAATATATCAATATTATTTGTCCAAATCTAATTACGAAGCATGGTTCTTCGCCAAGTAGGATTTCGAAGTACCAGAAGTAGCCATGTAGGCTCAGCGCATTCGGAAATTATGTATAGGGAGGATTTTAAAAGTTTATGTCTCAACTTACATATAACTACATAGAGATTGAACATTATAATAATCTTGAAAAAATTAACGTGATTATACTTCATAAAGTTTAAAACACACATATATATAATTCTCGAATGTGTTGAGCATAAGTGGCAGGCTCGCGTGTTACGCCATCTCATTTGTCGTAATTACGTTATTTGGATTGATACATAATTATGCTTGGGTGTCATGGAAAATGTTAATTAGGCATGGTTATTTACATAATATATTAAATATTTTTCTTTATTGAAATAGTCATTATTCATTCCATTCCATACTTTTTCCTTCCACAGTGAACTTTATACTTTTTTTTTTTGTTTCATTCTGTCACATATATTCACTAAATCAATCATATTAATTTATTTCTCAATATTTCTCTCATATTCATATATTACTCATTTTGAAGATAAAATAATATGATATTATTCTTTTAAAAATGATATTTATTTCAAATCTGATTGATATGTTGTCAATCTAATACAAATATGTATTATTTATCTAAACTCTAAAATTACATATAAAGTTAGAAAACTGTGAAGCACTCTACCGACTGATACAACACCTGATCTATTATGCGTATAATTAAGTAAAAAATTAATCTCTTTTACTTAATATTCAACAAACATATTCTACACTTATGCATAAACATATCACCATATTATTTCAATTTATTTAAGAAACATTTTTTGTACACATGTAATAGTAAACAATATTGATATTTTTATAAGATATACGTAAAATAATTTTATATAAGTTGTCATTTTCATTTAATATACGTGTGTTTAACTATTGTGGTTAAACAAATAGAGTTTGACAATTTAATTAAAACGCAAAGTAATGTTCACATAAAATTAAATTATTTTTGTTAAAGAATTAAAATAAAAGTTTTAATAGTTTTTTAAATGTTGTTATATGATTTTTAACAACGATGTAACCAACGATTGAGATGATAATTACGAACGGTTTGGACGTAAAGCATGTAACAATAACTCAACAATGGCCCCGGTCCGAGGTGAACCGAGGTGAAGAGCCGTTATGGGCTTTTACGTGTTGCATATTAATGAGTTCGGGGATCCCCCGTACAAGTGTTGTAGGCAGTCTATTTATAGCAACTTTTTACGTATATCTCGGGATTTGTGCATTAGCTTTTTCATAAAGCTACTTTTTAATGGGCGGCAGGATCAGTGGGCCCCATTTGAATGATGAAAAATCTCGTAATTCGTGGCGGGGGTGCGTAGGTGCCTTGTCACCTGCTTTAAGAGGTGAGACCTCGGTTTGTTCTTAGGAGGTAGGATCTCGGTTCGCGTCTACTTCGGTTTGGCGAGACTTCGGTCTTCAGTGATTCAGATCGGTTCTCTGTCCGAATTAGTACAGCTTCAGATAATGTCGGTTCGATGGTTAATTTCACTTAATATGAAGTTTAGGACTCTTAAACAATGCTTGTCGAGTTGGATGATAACATTAAATATGCTTTTTAATTCAACACCCGTGCAATTCACGGGTATTGTACTAGTGAGAGAGTATTATCAAGAGATTATAAATAGAGAGTATTATCTTGAGAATTTATAAAACTGAAACCTTAATGAGAGAGAATTTATAGAACGTGAACTGAATTTATACAGATCTTGTCCGAACTTTTCTTGGAGCGAAAACAAAATTAGAGAATATATCAATAGAAGACATGAAGAAAGTGAGTAAGTTAAAAGCTTGGTATGCATTTTCGTCACGGGATAAGGGTACAATTTTAATTTTCAAATTTATTAAATCGTCGGTTTAAGGCCAAAGCGATAGTTCAAATTCAAAGGTCAAATTGATATATTAGTCGATCTAAAAAATTTGACCGTTAGATCACATGGTTCTGGGTTTGATTCTGGTTCGTACTAATTTTTTATTTTTTTTTTTTCAAAAAGAGTGACGGTAAAAAAAAATCTAACGGTTCAGATTTAATCAGTTCCAATTTTGATTCCGATTTCGTGCTTGACTCGGCTCGACTCAAAACCTAAAAAAAATCATTTTTTAATCTTGAATCGGCCGGTTTTGATTTCAAACCGACGGTTCACAAAATTTTATTTTGTTGGATCTTGATTTAGCCTAGGCAAAACCATGGGTCTATTCATGGTCCGTGGTCAACGATTCTGACCGAGTCG